CTCCCTATAGTTACCTCTTCCCTGTGTCCATCTTTCCTATGCATTCCTATCCCCCAGCTGTCTCCCTGTGCAAATGCTACCCTTCTGTTCTCCTATGACTGATCTCACTAAGGAGTGTATCTACCTGATGTAAATGCTCACCCTATATGCCTGTCTATTGTTTGGCTGGAAGCTACAGAAGTGAGTGCAGTTCCAGACCTGAAGAGTAACTAGGGGCCATGGTCTTGGGGTCTTACCAAGCTATCAGAACAGTGAACCTGGTCTTTTTTTTATGATGTTGAGTTTTGTTCTACGTTGTTCTCCCACTCTATCCGGGATCTCCTACATAGATCCCCTCTGAGTGGTTGACAGTGGTAGCCGGGCACCATCTAGTTCTTTTGTCCTCATGGTCACAAAGGCTGAGGATCGTATGGTCGACCAGTCCCTTGGACTAATTGTTTCCATGTGCTTTGGTTTTCTTCATTCTTCTTTGCTCTGGATGAGGGGAGACCCATTGTTGCATCTAGATGGCTGCTTGCAAGCTTTTAAGACCCCAGTTGCTACTCACCAAAGTAGGACGTAGAACAATGTTTTTGTATAGTATGTTATGCCAACTGAGCTTGATGTCCCCTGCGACCATGGTCCCAGGCCCACCAGAGACTGCATTTTCTGGTCACTCAGCTAGTCAGTGCTGGAGCTAGAATTCAAACCCTGGCCCGTCAGTTCCAAAGTCCCCTGCACACCTGTGCAACTGACCTCCCCAGCCACCGCAGGCTCCATCCTGGCACCTTTCAGTGGCAACTCAGGGCAAGTGTCCCTCTGAGTCACATCCTATGGGAGAGAGAACCTGGGATTCACAGAACAATCTTTGTAGGGAAGTACCCCCTTTTAAGTCTTGTGTGTGGGCAAAATCACATTACCTCTTCACTGCAGTCCTATGATATAGGAAAGAATGACAACCATTTCACTGAGGCCCAGAAAAATAAGAGATGGGGAGGGTGCACCACAAAAAAACTGGGCACAGGGTACTTTATGTACATCACCTTCGAACACCCTCCAAGTTATTTTCTTTATTTCTTGGAGGAGAAAACCGCTCAGAGAAGAGGTGACACTTACCCAAAATTCAACAGCCAGAAAGGGGCAGGGCTAGGGAAACCCTCCCTTTCTCCATCAGACAGGTTCACCTGCAGGGGGAACACGATCTGTGACTGTGAACACCTTAGGACAAGGACTGTCCCTCTCATCTCTACACAGAACACACGCCAGGGCCTGCACACAGCCATCTTCCATCATTGTCCATTGAATGGAATCCATGTTTCTATTGGGGAAATGGCTATCCCACACCCCCACTCCCACTTCATTTGTGCCACCAGCCTGAGAAAGAGCAGCCCAAGGGTCATAACCCCTCCACTGGCAGAAATGGAGCCTTAGGCTCCAGTATAGCCAGGGCCCTACAGGAGACTTATAATTTCTTGTTACCATAGCAACACTAACACCTCTATTCCCCTAAAGTGTGCAGGAGCTGATCCCTACTCCATGCCTGCCCCCGAACCCCTTCCATCTCTGAGATCCCGGTGATTCAATTAATTAATGCCTGCACTGTTTTGTTTTGTTTTGTTTTGTTTTTTTATTTTATTCCATCTGCTAAGTCCTACTCTGGATTAGAGTAGTTATTTACCAGAACATTGGAGGCTGGTTGCCATGGACACCTCACAGCCTGCTTCCTTCATCACCTGTGAGCGTGGGTACCATTGCCCTTTATCCAGCCTCCAAGAGGCATCCAAATTCCCCAGACAAGAAGGGGTCCTAATGATAGTATCAACTAGTATCAACTGCAGAAAAAAATTAAAAACAGCCAAGAGCTAGTTATATCTGTCCAAACCAGGTCAAAGCAGCAATTTAACAAATAAGTCAATAAGGGTACCATTTTGTTTTCTGAACATCTTTGGCAAAATCTCTAGTTTGCTAACCATTTGAGATGTATTTTTGTATTCGGAAGTTGTGGATTCATTACGTACATTACTAGCTCCCTTTGAAAATAAAATGAGGAGATTTGAAATGCAAGACCCCAAAGAACTAACTCTGTTATGGGGGCTTACAAGAAGTGGGGGTTGAGGAGCAGACCAAGGAGAAATGAAGAGTGAAATGTAAGCCTAACCTGGGCCAGCCCAGCGGGCATAAGGAGATGGGAGATGAAGAGTGTTTTTCAAAGTAAGAAGGTGAAGAGGTTCAGAGGCAACCAGGATGTGAACCTGGTTCACATCCATCAGCCCATGGCCCATTGCTCCTGATAACCACAGCACGTTGTGTTTGCAGAGGGGACAGGGGATCAATACATCACCCCACATTCACACACTCCCTGCACTTCAAAATCAATGTTTGGTAAAATAGGCCTCTTCTGAATCTAAGGTCACCTAGTCCATCCACCTCATCCACTCCCCACTGGGATACAAGTCAAGGGGTAGTATCCAGGTCTCCATCTCCAAGGACATGATGGTGGAGTGTCGGGGGGTGGATTGTCCCTGGCCCCAGGAAGCTTATCTTTTGCCTACCCCTCATGTCCAGCTGAAGACCTGCCCCTCATCCCCACTCCTGCCCTTCACCACAAAGGTCAACACCCCTTGCCTTCCCCCACGTAACTGATGACTGACTGATGGACACTGAATGATGGGGTGTGGCAAGGGTGATGGGTTGTTCCTGTGCCCCACCCTCTTCCCTCCTGTGTGGGGTGAGTCTGGCTTCATGGAGAGGAGGGCTTGGAGGGACCTCCAAGGGCTTTATAAGGCTGGGCTGGGGCACCAAGCGAAGCAGAGCGTTGAGAGCTCCAGGCCCAGCTGCTACATCATCCACTGCCCCGCTCTGCAGGTGAGGAAATGGGGGATGCAGGGGGCAAAGTGGGAAGAGGGTTGTCAGGAGCATGCCCTCACACCTCTGTGACTCTGGAGTAGGGACCCTCCCGTTAACCCTGGGCAGAACTAGGGCCTGGTCTCAGCTCTAGCACCCAGCCTGCATTCCTAGCCAGCGGGAATCAGAGAACCAGCCCTCCAACCTGTCCTGCTACCCCACCCAGGGCCCTGCCCCAACTCTCCCACTCTACTCACTCAGCCCTGGGAGGTGAAGCAGATAAGGGCTAGTCTCTCCATGTCTCAGGTAAGAAAACTGAGGCATACAAATCAGGGCAGAGATGAGACTGGACCCCATGGTGCCTGGATCCCAACTCAGGTCTTGAAAAGAATGTTTCCTGGTGATGGAAATGTTCCATATCTGGGCTTCCAATATGGCACCCACTAGCCACATGTGCTCTTGCAGTGTGGCTAGCACAAGTGAGGAAAAGAAATTTCCAATGGCCTCACAGTTCCTAAGGCTGGGAGTCCAAATTCAGGGTGTTGGCAGGGCCTAGTTCTCTCCAAAGGCCCTAGGATAATAGCATCCATACTTATCTCTCTCTGCTTCTAGTAGCCTCAGGCATTCCTTGGCTTATAGAGGCATCTTCCCTCTCTTTCTTTGTCTCCGAGATCCTTCTCCTATCTTACAGGACACCCCCCAGGTGGGATTAAAACCACCTTACTCTGCTATGACCTCATGTCATCTTACTGGATATCATCTTCCAAACAAGGGCATATTCAAAAGTACCAGGGGTTAAAACCCAAACCAAACCCACTGCTACTGAGTCAATTCCAACTCACAGCAACCCGTATTGGCTTTCCAGGGCTGTAAATATTTTACGGGAGTAGATTGCCTCATCTTCTGCCTCCAGAGCAGCTGGTGGGTTTGAACCACCAACCTTCTGGTTAGCAGCCAAATGGCTTATCCACTGCTCCACCAGAGCTCCTCACCAGGGGTTAGGACTTCAATATAAATCCAATCTATAATAGGAGTGAGGGAAGTCAGGACTCCACGAGTCTCTTCATTTTGTGCTGGTTCCATGAGATGTGTTTGGAGGCAGCCATACAGAGGCTAATCTACTGAACTGGGAGAAATTTGATATTTACTGTTGACTTTTCCCGTCATTTCCCCATTGTCTTCCCAATAGCCATTAAACTTTGTGTTTTATATTTTTATTCTATAAAGAAGAGATAATAATTTTGCTGTGGCTGTTTCATGATAACTGAGAAGGGTGCTGGGAAGAAAATTAATGGTAAAAAAAAAAACAACTGTCTGAGCTCATTGTAAGTAAATATGCTATAATTTTTTTTTTTTCAATTCTCCAAAAAGTGCCTCAGAAAAAAGTCCTGGTGATTTACTTCCAAAAGATCATAGGCCTTGGAGCACGGCTCTACTCTGACCCACATGGGGTCATCATGAGTTGTGAATCGACTCAACTTGAACTTCCGACAAAGCCAATCAGAATAATGAGGCTAAATGAGCACAAGAATGTTGAATCCAGAGAACAGATGAGCTTGTGAATTTTGTGTTTTTGGAGCAATAGTTTGCTTTTGTGTTTTGTCCTCCCCAAACCGGATTCATCTGGATAAATAGTTGCAAATGGTGACAGTTTTTTTTTTTAACTGCTTAATTGCAATCACAGGCTATCCCTTGGAAGTAAAAGTTGCAGGAGAACCTTCACAAAAGTTCTGTTGATCCAGCCACATGGTGAATATGCTGGTGGTCTCCAAGCTATTGTTGTTTAGTCCATAAGGCAGTTGAGTGTGTATGTTCCTTCGATATTACTAGTTAAAAGGATGCTTTAAGTCACAAGACTGAAACATCTCCAGAGCTGTAGACATGGCCTCAGACACTGCAGAACAGTTCAGAAACCATTGCTTTAAGTTTTTCATTCTTCCAAGAGACACCGTGGCTCTAATTGGGTAGGTGAGAGGAGAGGTGCGAGGCTTGGGATGCAAGATGGCAGGGTGGATGGCAGGAAGTGGAGTCACGCAGCCCAGCAGTCCACAATTCCACATAGAAGCAAACCTGTCAGCAGAAGGGAACTGGAGTCCATCGAGTCCATCCTCCTGCCTCTGGGCCTGCGCGGGGACAGCTCCACCTTTAAATTCAATTCTTTCCCCTTTGCAGACAAGATGCAGCGTCTGTGTGTGTACATGCTGATCTTTGCACTGGCTCTGGTCGCCTTCTCTGAAGCTTCTAGGAAGCCCCCCTTCCAGATGCGGGACAAATCCTCCGATCCAGTGGTGAGCCAGGGCTTGGAGCCGCACTGGCCTGAACAGCTGGGCCCAGCCTCTCGTCACCAAAGGCAGCTGGGACCCCAGGACCCCTCACATCTTGTGCCAGGTAGGAGCTGCTGACAGCCACCCCTGCTTACCTGGCCGGCCAAGTTTGGCCAAGCTCCCTGGTCCTAGCCTCAGCCCCCAGAGGCTAGGTGCCCTTCCCCCATCTTCACCTCCTCCCAACTCACCCAGACCCACCTCCGACCTTTCTCCTTGTCCCACTCCTCAGACCTGTCCAAGAAACAGGGGCCATGGATGGAGGAAGAAGAAGAAGCATATGGGTGGATGGACTTTGGCCGGCGCAGTGCCGAGGAAATGGACGAACGTCCCTAGAACATCTTCAGACCCCAGTCCCCTCCTACAGCCCTGTCCCCTGAAAACAAATCAAAATAAAGTATCTTCCCAGGATCACTCTTGTCAAGTTCAGTAGGGCAGGGGAGGGGGAGTCGGTGAGGGAGAGGGTTGAGGCATGGAGGAGAGCTGGGGGCCTCTTAGGGGAGGAACCACGGCAAATTCCTTTCCATGTTTCCAAAGACTTAATACTGAGGAAGAATCTACAGATGCAGGTGGGAAACTAGGTGATGGGATCACAGCCAGACCAAGCTTTTTGAAAGATAAATCAGATCATGTCCCTCTCAGCTTAAACCTTCCAGTGCTTTCCTCCACACTTAGGGTAAAATCCAAACTCCTTGCCAAAGCCGTAAACAGCTAGCCCTGCTGTCCTTTCCACCCTCAGCTATGCCACTTCCCTTCTCTTCCCTCCTCCTTTATGTCACACATACACACACACACACTCACACTCACCACTTTCTTTCCTGCTCAGAGCCTTTGTCCTTGCTGTTCCCTACATCTGTTCCCCAGGCACAGAACATAGCTTGCTCCCTTTTATCCTTCAGGTCTTGCTCGAAATGCTTCATTCTGAGAGACCCACCTTTCTGCTCCTCACCCTTCACACACAGCCTAATATTTTCTTAGCACATTTCACAGTCTGGAATTGTTTTGGTTGCCAAACTGATTGCGTCTGCCCCGCTTGAAGGTGGTCTCTGAGAAAATGGGGGACACAGATGCCTTTTTCACTGCTGTATCCCCAGTGCCAAGCACAGTGCCTGGCACACAGGAAGAACCAGAACACATTTGTTAAATAGACCAGTGGTGGCTAGCACAGGGACCCGGCAACGTCTCTTCCACATCCTCTCATTGTTCTTGTGCATGTTGACCGTGTCCTACCACAGGCACTTACTGCTCTCCACTAGAGGGCTTTCTCTCTGCCCAACTGCAAGGCAGACTGGAATTAGTGCCTCCAGAAGCAGCCCTGAGTCGATGACAGGTGACAGTCAGAGGATGAATACCCCAGCCCCCTCACACCCCAGAAGGGATAACAAACTCTAAGGTATGGTCTACAACGTTTCCCAGAGTTCCCCATCAGGATTGCACCCCAGTTTCCCACTGCAGTAACCTGCCCAATGACACATCCTTTATTGTCTTCTTTCCCTTCACTGATTCACTTCCTCACTCCCCTGCTGGTGTTTCTTGGGATTAGCACTCTGTGGTGGTTAAGTTTGTGTGTCACCTTGGCTAGGCCTGGTTGAGTGGCTGGGCAAGCTGGATGTAGTATTCCTCATGATGAGACTGGTAATCAACTCCATGGGGGGAATCTACTGTGAGCAGCTGAGTAGCTGCCTTTGGGATGTGGTCTGCTTCCTGTATATAAGGAGAAGCTTTGAGAATGGTCTCTACCCTATGGTACGTCTACTTAAGAATGGCCAGACTTGGTCTCACCCACTTTGGTCATTTGTCAGAAGGGACCAGTCATTGGAGAAGGATATCATGCTTAGTAAGGTAGTTGTTGTTGTTGTTGTTGTGTGCCGTCGAGTTGGCCCCGACTCATAGCGACCCCTCCTTGGGTTTCTGAGGCAGTATCACTACGGAAGTAGGATTGCCCAACCTTCCTTCCGAGGAGTAAAGCAGAGGGTCAGCTAAAAAGGGGAAGACCTCGAATGAGATGGATTGACACGGTGGGTGCTGTGATGGGCTCAACCATAGCAAGGAGTATGAGGATGATGCACAACTGGGCAACATTTCATTCTGTCGTATATAGGGTCACTGGGAGCTCTGGTTAGCCTAGTGCCTAAGGTATTTTGACTGCTAACCAGAAGGCTGGTGTTTCAAACCCACCTGCCACTCCTCAGAAGGAAGATTGGGCAATCTACTTCCGTACAGATACCACCTTGGAAACCCAAGGAGAGGTTGCTATGAGTTGGGATCAACTTAATGGGAGTGAGTTTGGTTTTTTGGTACAAGATCACTATGAGTTGGAGCCAACTCCATAACACCTAAAAACAACAAAATTATAGGTGCTGCCTGGTCATTTTCGGCTCTTCATGCCAGAAGACCAGATAGCAAAGAAGATCATTTACTGTCCTAGGTTACTGACCTTGATTAGCATGAGGAGCTAGGGTCAGTGCCTCCTAATGTGGGCAGGAAGGAGTCCTTCTAGATCTTTGAAGATTCACTGGGGTGCCATCAAGGAACCCTTAGGGCTTCCTGCCTGGTGGCAATCATGAACAGGCAATTACAGCAATCGTGGCCTAGCAAGGGCATGGTAACTCTGATAGTAAAGGTTGTGTGTCAACTTGGCTGGGCCTGGTTAAGTGGCCTGGGAAGCTGGTGGTAGTTATTCCCCATGATGAGACTGGCAACCAACTCCATGGTGGGATCTACCACAAGCAGCTGAGTAGCTGCTTTAGGGATGTGGTCTGCTTCCCGTACATAAGCAGCAGCTTTGGGAATGGTCT